GGTGTCAAGGAGCCCCAGAGAGGTAAAGTGACTTGCCCAAGGTCACAAAACTGGTCGGTTGCAGGTTTTTTTGACCTCAAGCCCCATGTCTTTCGCAGATCACCCAAAGCTGCCTCAGGTCTGTGTTTTCAGGGCCAAAGAACCAAGAAGACTGTTGAATTGTTCTTAGGACTGTACTTAGAATCAGCTGGAAATAAGAAAGATGCATAAAAGCACCCTTGGGGTCCTCTTGCCCTGACCTGGAGATGCTGAAGCACTTGGAGTGTTCAGAGGAGCGCTTGGGTTTTCCTTGCCCAGAGCGTTTTGCAGCCACAGACATCATGGGATGCAAATAGCCAAAAATGGACCTACCCTCCTAATTCACTAGACTCTTCCTATGTGGCTGCCTGAGTCCCTAGCCAATCCCTACAAAAGTCCAAACACCTCCCAGGGCTAGGGCCTGATCAGAAAGCTGAGCATATAGCCATTCGTCTCCCTACAGGTCCATCTCCCTCCCCACAGCTTCCTTTTGAAGAAATACAGCCCTCTTTGTCCAGCTTGTCAAGCTCCTTTTTCAATAGAGCCTCAAAAGCATTGAGATGGGTTGGCTGTGGAGTCCCCCAAGAATTTCCAGTCTCCGCCCTACCCCCAAACTCGTGAAGGCCAGCAGTCACTCAGAACAGCTAGTTGCACGCGTTAAGTGGACAGAAAGCAGGCCCAAAGGTGCTGGAGTTATTTCCACAGCCCCCCTGTAGCTTCCAGCCCCTGTGGCCCAAACCTGAGATGGCTGGTCAGTTGACGGCAGTGTGACGCCCTGATGAGCTAGCATTTGCTGAAAAAGAATATTGTCCACTATACACTCCGCCCCAAGTGCTGGGCTAAGCTAGACATTCTCTACCTCCTCTACATAGTACAAGTCTGAGAGGTGCATGTCATCCCCAGATGAGGGCATGGAAGTTTGGAGGTCAGATGCCTATGCTAAGAAGGTAACACAGCCGGTGAAAGGCAGGGCCAGCATTCCAACCTGAGACCCACCTGGTCTACAGGTTGTCTTTGTGTTGAGTTTCCTGGTTTATGCCATTTCCTCCTCCACTCCCCACACCCCAGGTCCCCTGTCTGTCCCTGAATCATGCAAATTCAAATTCTATGTCTCAAATCTCCTCCTCTCACTACTCAGATATATTTATCCCTTTTCCTCATCAAGCCCAGAGAAAGCTCAGCTCTACCATTAAAGTTCTAAGTACGGCTTAGTCTTTGAAAACAACATCCCCCAGATTCACTCCGTATGTAACTGCATGGGTTACCCCGGTGCAGCAGAGAGCGTGGGACTGCAAGCCCCCAAAGTGGGGCATTTTGGAACCCCACAGTGAAAGAGGCTAAATGTAGTTTGAAAACACTACAGTTTGTATTCCAATTCTTTTGGCTTTTTTTTTTTTTTTTTTGGTCATCATATTACAAAATTTCAAGCAACAAAGGATGACACGGAATTGTAATATTTATCGAAAGTGGGTTTGGGCTTTAAAAGTTGTGAAACGCTGGCTTACAGTCTTATGGGAATTTAAAGATTTTTTTTTCCCACACTTTTTGAATGTTTTCTTCATATGCTTGTCCTACCCCGCTTAACTGGACTGCAAAAGTCTAGGAGGGTGGCCATCGACCGTGAGTTTCTCTCTTTTGTGTTTCTCCCTGTAGTCTTTACCCAGTGGATACTCTATAACCAGGTCATCCAACCTATTGTCTAACATGGTTTGTTTTTCATTCCTGAGGGAACTTTTTTGCTGTTCAGTCAAACCCAACCTAAATAAAGGACTGAAGGAAATGGGTTGGTTTTCAAACAAAAATAGGTGATCTGAGCAGAGGAGATGGATGAAACAGAAAATAGCACGATAAAATGTCCCTAAATTGGAACCTACCACTTCAGGGAGACTGAACCAGAACTTAGCTTTTGAACTCTTCACTGAAAAATTATTTAACCAGTTAAAATTCACAGCAGTGACAAAATCACTCTGGCGACCATTCCATCTTCCTAAGAAAACAAACCAACGCCAAGCACCCATGTTGCACACCAGAAAGAAAGGGGTATGGTATAAGAGCCTCCTAAGCACTAGCTTCTAATCGTACTATCATTTCCCAATCAAATCAATTCAAACAGCCAATGGGTTGTTCTTATCTCCAGTTCATGTGTCATTGTGTGTGTGTGTGTGTGTGTGTGTGTGTGTGTTTGCTGGCTCAAAGGTTTAAGAACGTTTAAGAAAATGTTTTCAGCTGAAACTGGCCATCCCTCCCAACTGCTAAAGTTTTGCAGAAAGACTGTTCTGTGAAACAAAGTGTGTTTTCTTCCTTAGACAGATGATAAATTCATGGGGCGGGGGGGGGGGGGGGGGGGGGCACAGACGACACAGGTTGAAAGGAAAAACAGACCTTTGGGGAAAGTAGAGTGATTTGGGCTGTCACAATGAGACCTCCTAACTTCACTCCATGGAATGCTGGTGAATACTTGAGTCATCTACTCCAACTCCTTCTTCTCCAGCTTTTTCCAGACTCCAATCACATCCACCACAAAGGAAACCAAGTTTGAGTTTTAAAGCTTAGATTCAGGGGCGCCTGGGTGGTTCAGTCATTAAGCGTCTGCCTTCCGCTCAGGTCATGATCCCAGGGTCCTGGGATCGAGCCCTGCCTGGGGCTCCCTGCTTGGCAAGAAGCCTGCTTCTCCCTCTCCCACTCCCCCTGCTTGTGTTCCCTCTCTCGCTGTGTCTCTCTCTGTCAAATAAATAAAAAAAATCTAAAAAGAAAAAAAAGCTTAGATTCAGTTATTCATCCAAGGGAAAATTAACTAGAAGTGTCATTTCAGCATCTGTCTCCCATCACACTGCTTTAGGAAGAGAAAGCATCATGCAGGTTTATTTAGAATCATAGAAAGGTAGGGCTGGAGGAGGAATGCAGCTGTGTCACTAACCAGAAAGTGAAGAATATGGTGCCACAAAAGTGACTTGTCCGGGGCGAACGTATACGGGCAGACCCCAACCAGGACTCAGGCCCCCTACTGCCAGTTCACCTTTCTTTTTTAGGTCTCCACTCCTGTCCAGTGAGGCCGACTTAGCGGAAGCAGGAGGTGCAGTATAGATGACATCTGGGGGCTTCCAGAGGAATCTCAGGAAGTTTACACTGAGGGCCTGGAGAGCTTGGAGAGAACAGATGAAATCAGAACAGACCCAGCAGCGCGCGCGCGCAAACACACGCACACACGCACGCACACACAATGACACGGACACAGAAGCAGAAGCTGAGCGGGGCAGGGTGGACAGCAGAGGAACCCACCTCGCAGGGCCGCCCCCGCCAGCGCCGGGTGCAGGACTTGCTGGGCGCCAGCAGAGGGCGCGCCGCCCCCAGGGAGCCGAGCAGCAGCCGCGCGGAACCCGGCAGGCTAGGGGAGCCGCAGGCGAGCCGGACGCGCCCCTGCAGCTCGGCCACTCAGGGTGCAGGACCCGGCCAAGGAGGAGGAGGAGGGTGAGGAGCGGACCCCCCTCGTGGGCCCGAGTAACAGACGTGCAGGAGTGCTTCCTAGGAATTACATCACGCTGCGCAACGCTGCGGCTCTCGGACTCCTCCTGCTGTGTGTGTGTGTGTGTGGTGTGTGTGTGTGTGTGTGTGTGGTGTGTGTGTGTGTGTGTGTGTGTGTGTGTGTGTGTGTGTGTGTGTGTG